TCCTGTCCTGATTTCCCCTCGACCCTGCCCCGGCCCTGAGCTCCAGCAGCCGCCGCACGTTCCCGACCTGCTTCCTGGCTCTTTCGTGGGGCAGAAGCTCAGATACGCAGACGCCGCATCTCCCGGTTCAGAAAGTCCTCAGGGCTCGTCGGTAGGACTCAGTGCTCGGGCCAGCAGCAGCAGCAGCATTTGGGAGCTTGTTAGAAATGCCGTGAGGTGGCCCCACTAGGCCTCCCGAGCCCCAGTCTGCATTTCAACAAGGTCTTCGGGAGCCTGGGGTGCATTGCAGTCTGAGATGTGCACACGTGTGGGTCTGTCTCCTCCTCGCCCCCTCCCCGCTCGGCTCTCTCCGCCACGGCCATTGTCTCTGCAGGTGCCTTCTTCCTCTGACTCCGTGTTTCCCTGCGTCTCCACCGTCCCTGCTCTGTGATGATTGGCGTCTAAACAGGCGAGAGCGAGCCCCCTCTCCCCCACAGGGTCCCAGGAGCAAGCTGCAGCTGGGCAGGAGCTGGACAAATGTGACACAGGGTGACCGCAGACTCACTGTCAGGGAGCCGCCCAGCCCCTATTTCCAGACTGTTCTTGGGCCGCTCATTGCTCCCACCTGCGCTGGGGAGGTTGGACCCTCACCTGACGGGGCCTGTGTGCCCCAGGCCACCGAGGGCCACCCCGGTGGAGTTAGCGGGCCCACGGGTGCCCAAGGCCAGCGAGCCCTGCGGTGTTAGGGCACCAAGGAATGGTGAATCCCAGAAGTAGTTTATGCGAACTCTGTGCCTATTTTCACTATTTGGGCCAAAAGTGAGCTCATCAGCCTCACCCGGCAGCCGGGCCTCTGGCCAGGGTGGCCGGCCCTCTGAGCCCACTGTTGGGAGGTTGGAGGCTGACCTCTGTGCATCTGCAGGGCTGTGTGTACCCAGGGGACTGGGGACACTTCTGTGTGGCTTCCAGCTTCTGATTCCTGCTCCCTGTTTCCCCCCTGCCACCACCTTCAGCGCAGTGGCCGAGGCCCTGCTCACGAGGGACCCCAGGGGGGCAGCGTTTTGTGCCGTCAAGCGTGAGCCACACCCCCCTCCCCTGGGCACACGAGGTCACAGGTGGGGGGCAGGAGCAGGGCATGCAAGCTCCAGGTCCTCCACTGGTGTGAGCCGATCCGCCCCTCCTCAGTGCGGGGGGTGGGGACGGGCCCCATGGGCTGCTGGCCCCCGTGGGGCCGTCGTGGGCGCGCAGGGGAGGCGTGAGGGTCTCTACGCCCTCACGTAAGATGCCTTCTGTTAGTTAAGGCTGCGCCACTGAGACGATGTTCCCAGAATATGGCAGGAGGCGAGACGGGGCACGGGGGAGAGTCCTCCTGGGCCCCAAACTGGGTCCTGGCGTGTGGGCATCTCTGCTGTCTGCTTCTGGGGTCGGGTCCCCCTCAGCACGTCCCCCAATACCGGGAGTGGTGCATGGACCCCTGGAGAGGAGGGCCCCTGCCCAGCCCCACACAGGAGGCAGCCCGGGGGTGGGGGGGCACTTTATTCCGGGGTGGACTAGGCCTGGGAGGTGGCTTACAGGCAGCAGGGAGCAAGGACTCCAAGCCAGATGGTGGGGCTACCTGCTGTGTGACTTTGGGCAAACGACTTAACCTGTCTGTGCCCGTCCCTCTTCCCTGGGCTGGAGAGAGCAGTCCCGCCTCACGGGGTCATCGTGAGAATTAAAGCAAGAATAGCTGTCGAGCTTTTAGCGCAGTGCCTGAACCCCGAAGACCAAGAAGTGCCTCCTCCCCGGAGGGTCCGGGCCTGCCCGGGGGTGAAGGGGAGCCGTGACTGAGCTCCCGCCGCCCCTCCCACTCGCTGTCCCGACCATGAGCTGTGTGGGGCGGCAGGAAATGAGCACAAAGCTGTCTTACTGCCGTGGGACGTGGTGGCTTCAGAGACGAGGCTTGCCACCTGCCCCGGGACTGTGTCCTCGCTGAGAAGCCCCCCTTCTGGGGCACGTGTTTGTGCCTCAAGGAAACTCACTGGTGATTCCTCACATGTCACCTGTCATTTTAATTGAAAAATATCGCATCCTTGGGGCTGGCCTGGTGGCCTAGTGGTTAAGTTCGTACATTTGGCTTTGGTGGCCTGGGGTTTGTGAGTTTGGATCCCGGGCATGGACCTAGCACTGCTCATCCAGCCATGCTGTGGTGGCATCCCCCATACAAAACAGAGGAAGATGGGCACAGATATTAGCTCAGGGCCAATCTTCCTCAGGAAAAAAATATGTATATTTCGTGTCCTTGGTGACTTTGCTTTCTCATCATGTTCGCTCCTATCACCCCATTCGGGATGCTGGTGTCTGATCACAGCCGTAACGTAGGACTTGTGTGCTGTGGAACGTTTTTACACACAGTAGTTCAAACGTAAGGGAACAGGAGTTGGGGGGGACGTGGGAAAGCCGTGGCCGTGCCCCAGGCTGAGTGGGCGGGAGGCCCTGGCGCGTCGTGCCCATGATGGCAGTGCTGTCCTGCTGCGCCCTGGTGTTGCACGAACAGGAGGACAGTGCTGAGGGCCGCGGATCAGCCCACAGCAGCCTGGTGGGCTCCATGGTGAAAACTGGCTTGATTTGGCCACAGAAGGGAGTTTTCTGGGCTCAGAAGCTCAGACCAGGTGTGACATTCTGAGGCCCATTGTGGACAATGAAGGCCCCACCGCCGGACGACAGAGCTGGAGGCTGAGCCGGCAGTTGCCCCGCGGTCAACGCCTTGTTCCGGGAAAGAGGAGAATTGTCGTTCCGAGAAGGGGGGCACTGCAGCCACAGTGAGGGTCTCCGTCACAGAGCACGTGGTGGGGCCCAGCGGCTGGCTCGCTCGCCTCTCCCGGCAGCCCAAGAGGTGGGTGCTGTCTGGTTGCCCTGATGATTCCCAGCTGAGTCAGCAGTCCAGGTGCCACCTCAAGTGGCCAAGAGCCCTGCCCGTGTAGCCGGGGGCGGCTGCGGAGCAGGGCCAGTGTCCCCTCGACGCGTGGCACACACCCTCAGCAGGGCCTCTCCTCACAGACGGGTGGTGGGGAGCACGTCCCGGGTCCCTGCTCTGGGAGCACTTGACTGGTACTGCAGGTCAAGGGTGATGTGCTCGGCGAGCGCAAGTGTGTCTGGGCCTCTTCTCTCCACTTTGGGACAAGTGATCCCAGGTGACTGAGTCTCAGCCCTGGGCCGGCTCCCCAGCCCGGATGCCCACCTGTGAGGTGGAGGGAGGTGGGGAGGACGGGGAGCCCTGCCCGTCAAGCTGGCCCGGCCCCAGTGCTTCTGAGGGCGCAGACAGACCAGAGAAGCCGTGCGTGGCTGGCATCATCAGGGAGCAGCCTGTGACCTATACCTCTCGAAAGGGAGCGTGCGGTTGAGCAGGGCGATCTCGGCAGAGCACCTGTGCGTGGACAGCTCAGGCTGCTGCCCGAGACGCTGCCTCCTCCCGTCCAGGCCTCGGTTGGTGGCTGAGCCCGGTTCACAGGCTGAGGCTGGGATGGCAGGTTTGGACTCACCCCACCCTGGCGGCTGGGGCTACACTGACCCCAGCAAGGACCTGCTTTGGGCCACCTCAAAGAAAGTACATGCCCACCACAGACAGGTCCCTGGGCTCCCCGGCAGCCGGCCTGGGATGGAGCCGGGGCCAGGGCTCCCACCATCTCAGCTCCCTCACTGACCTGCGCGGCTGGACCGGGTGGGTTGGCCTGCAGTCTGTGGGGAGCACTAAGTACTGGGGTGTCATGGGGAGCAGGACGGCTGTGAACCCCAGGTTCCTGGCACTGAAACTCAAGTGACACACAAACAGAAGACCCTGCCTCCACGAGAACTGAGCCTGCCCAGAAGGCGGCTCTGCCTGCGGGGCCTGCACCGCGGTGAAGCAGAAGCCTTGACCTCTCGCTGTGCGTCTCCTGTGGGCTCTGGCATCAACAGCAGAAAGGCTGTTTGCAACGAGAGCTGGCGTTTATCTGTGTTTCCCGCGAAGTCCCTTGCTGTTATGAAGACGGATTACTGTGAACTGGTAGTCCGTCATCGAAAGAGCATGAGAGCACAGGGCCAACGGCCCACACCCACACACGCGTGCATCTTGTGTGTCCCCTCACCATCATCACGTCTGCGGGTCAGAAAGGATTTTGGTGGTTCCAGCTCTGGCTTTATCAGAGTCCTCTCAGGGGCCGCATAATTTGTGTATCTTCCGTGTGACTGTGATTTTCGTTTAAACCCAGAAGCGGCTCCCTTAGTTGGTTCAGAGACTCGCACGTGAGCGAGTCACGTCAGTGCCGGCCTGCCTCTCATCTGCCTGTGCCGGGATTGGCAGGCGGCGGCAGCTGCTGGCGTCACACTATTGGCTCGCTGTGACAGTACCCAGTGGAAGCGGCCTCCTCGTTTCTGTGCTGTGACTCAGGCTCTGCGTCAGGCTGAGCCAGGACGCAGGGTATCCTCGCACAGCGATCAAGTGTCATCTTTAAAACCAATGTTGCTGTTGCAAGGAGCCAGGCCTTGTCTCCTGTTTCTGACAGATGCTTGTGAGCCTTCGGACAACTCGGGAATTTTCTCCCAAAGTTGTGGCAGTGCCATCAGGAGTGATTTTATAACGTGAATGAGCATGGCTAGGACTAACGTGACTTTTGGGTCATAAAATGTGTTTGGAGGGCTTAATCAGCTGGTCAACCTGGAAAGGAAAGTGACTCGGCTCTCACTGTGGAACATGAGTTGACTGAGTCCGGGAGGGACGGGTTCTGCCTGGATCTTTGCGTTGTGAGACGGTCGGTGTTTGTCTAGGAAATAAGCCACACACAGAAAAGATCTGTCTGTCTTTAGATGCGAGCGAGTTCTGGAAATTGCCCGGACGAGGCTCCTGGAGATGCTGCAGTCTGCTCAGACGCTTCCTGGGCGTGCATCTCGCCTTGCAGTGCCGAAGTGGCATGAGGATTCCAGGAAGAATCGCTTCATTATAAGGTTCCTTAGACATTGCTGCTGCTGCCCCCACTAACTGCAGCTCTCTCTCCTCGTTTCAGCTTACAAGATGCTGGCATTGGGTTCATCCTGGTCATAGACCGAAGGCAGGACAAATGGACCTCGGTGAAGGCATCAGTCCTGCGAATAGCAGTAAGTATCGGGCTGGGGTGAGTGACACTCCCGCCTACTCTTCTCCTGGCTGGGTGACAGCAGCGTTTCTCTCTGGTGACTCGCCTGTCTGGGTGGCAGTTTGGGTTCTGGCTGGTGCGTGCTTCACAGTGGGGGGCAGAGCTGTGGTGAGCTGCCAGCTCGGAGCACCAGCCCGAGGTGGCCTGAGGTGGGGCCAGGGGACACCTGGGGTCCCACACCATGTTGGGCCCCTCGAGTTGCCAGGGCTTGTGTGTGTGCACGTGCATGTGTGCAAACGTGTGCATGCGTGTGTGTTCTCAAATGGGTTAACTCTTAGGGGGCCTGTTATGATTTGCAAACAGTTTCACCGGCTGGTTTATTTCTGACCACTGAGGGTGTGACATGCTCAGGGTTTCACTGTGTGTTCTTTCTTAAACGGAGCAGAGCCCCGAGTAAGCATGGTGTTGAGTGTGTTGCACAGAATCTTCAGACTAGTCATTTGAGATTGTACTGAGTAGCTTTTTCTAAGTGGCTTTCTCCTTTCCAAATGGGCTACTGGTTCTTCAGTTTTGTGGCTCCGTCCGATGCCTGAGCCTGCTCTGGGGCCCCATTCCCATGTTCAGCGTCCCTCCGTGCTGAGGGACTGTCTGTCCATCCGTGGAGCTGCCCTCCGTGGAGAAGAGCAGCTGGTCTGGTTTTTTTAGCCTGCAGTAATCAGTGAAGAGGGAAGCGTTAAGTCAGCAGAAAACCTTGAATTTTATTTTTGTCAGGAGCTTCCACCCTCCCCCCACCCCCTGAGCTCCAAGTCGAGCTTTCTCACCAAGCTGAGTTCCACCCACTCGCTCCCCGCAGCCCAAGGACCCACGTTTGACTGTCTGCAAGCTGGCAGCCCAGAGCGACTGCGGCCGGGGTCCCAGCTGTGACCGCCTTGCTGCTCCCAAGGTTCCTTAAAACCTAACCCCAGTGGGGTAAGCCCCCCGACCTCCTGTTCTGGTCTTGGGTTCGAGCTCTTTGGTCCCTGGCCCCCGAGAGGCTGCTGTCCGGGGTCCTGGGAGGAGTGAAGGCTCGGCTCCTCCCCTGCGACGGCCTGGGCACTTCGTCCTACCCGCAGCTAAGGCCTCCAGATCCACTCTTAGCGCCCACACCATCTTGGTGCCCCTGTCCCTGGACTGCTGGTCTGCCTTTGTCTTTCTGATCAACCCTCTCCCTGCACCGCCCGCTCCCTGTCCCCACCCGGCAGACACTTCCTACCCCATCCACCATCTGAGACAAATCCCAGCACTTCGAAAGGTTTCAAAAGAAGTGGTGGTATTATTTAATCAGCTTTCCTTTGTTTTAAAATCCTCGGAAACTTACAAAGTATTTTTGATAGGCCATCACCGGTTAAGAACCAATATGTCCATTTCATCATTTTAATTTTTTTTTTTTTTGAGGACGATTAGCCCTAAGCTATTTGCTGCCAATGCTCCTCTTTTTGCTGAGGAAGACTGGCCCTGAGCTAACATCTGTGCCCATCTTCCTCCACTTTATATGTGGGACGCCTGCCACAGCATGGCCCAATGAGCAGTGTATAGGATCGGAACTGGCAAAACCCAGGCCACCAAAGTGGAACATGCACACTTAACCACTGCGCCACTGGGCCAGCCCCCAATTTTTTTTTCTTTTTTTTTTTTGGTGAGGAAGATTGGCCCTGAGCTAACATCTGTGCCAACCTTCCTCTATTTTGTGTGTGGAATGCTACCACAGCATGGCCCAATGAGTGGTGCATAGGTCTGTGCCCAGGATCCAGACCCACGAACCCCAGGCCACTGAAATGGAACACGAGAACTCAACCACTGTGCCCCCAGACTGGCCCCCAGATAAACTGTTTTTAAACTGAGGTGATCCTGTGAGATCTCCGACAAGACAGCAGCACTGCAGGGGCAAACCTGCCCGTGCTGTGGGAGTCCAGTTCTCGAGAGCCGACTATAAACGTGGTTTCACTCAGCATCGAGTTTATCTCAGGTGAATTCTGAAGCCACCTGGCTCATCTTTCAAACTCTGTTTTGTGAAAATCATCACTGAACAGTTGGTGTCTGAGTTTTCATGTTTGCACTGATTCTTACACTCTCATGGTAGAGGTGTTTTTTCTCTCCTTTTTCCTATAAGTTTTGGGGTTCCCCAGTACTGGTTTGGAAATCCCAGAAGTTAGCATTTTTTGAGCAGAGTTGTCGCAGATTCTCTTTGAACTCCAGCTTTTTGCTATGAGGATTTACTGACCTATTAATGCCAATGATACTATTCGTATATTTGACCCATTTATTGAGATGCCGCACGTGCCTGGCTCAGTACGAGGCGCTGGGGGTGTGAGGAGGGAACGGGTGGGAGGCGCACAGCCAAGCGGGGCAGACGGTCGACAGAACACTGCCACAGGGTTACAGCCAGAGACACCGGCAGACGCACAGGGCGCCTGAGACCGTGCAGGTCGTGGGGAGGTCAGGGTGCTGAGAGCCAGGCCCTGTGGCTTTCTTGTGCTCCCGTCTGTCTCTGAGCCAGGATGCGGGGTCTGATGGCCACCATGGTTCTGCGGGGCACGGGAGGTGGGAGACTGAGCTGGACAGCTGTCCCCAGTGCAGGGGAGCTGGGCGGGGGCAGAGCCAGCCCATGGGTGCCGTCCCTGGGGCTGTGAGCCTGGAGCAGCATCAGGTGGCCCGCACATTCATCCTTGGGGCTTTGGGAAAACCCTACCTGGCGCCAGCCAGGCCAGAGCCCTGGGAAGGAGTCTGCACAGGCCCTGGCCCCCAGCATAGACGAGTCCACCAGAGCGCCTGGCCAGTTTGCTGCAGGGGCTCAAAATCGAGTGTGCGGGCTGGGGCTCTGCTGGTCTCCCAGTGCACTCGCGCTGACGTGACAAGGCACTGTGACCGGGGCTATTTTCAGCCACCACGTTTGCTGTCTCGTGAGTGGAGCTTTCCCAAACTTGGGGTTCTTTTTCTTCTTTGGATGACTTCAGCTGGGCTTGGAATAGAAAAATAAGACACTGGGGGAGCCAAAGTCCAGAGTTGCTAAAATCAGACCCACTGTGCCTCCTCGAGAACAGGGCCTGCACCAGCTCTGAGGGGGCGATGGGGCAATTCTCGCTCGCCTCTCAGTTCACGGTTGCAGCTGGTGGCTGAAGGTAGAGACAATAAGACCTGAAGCTGACAATCCAGACGTCTCTCTTGGTCCAGCAGGTGGTTCCAAGTTTGGACTGTCCTCAGTGACGTGTGTTTTGTAAAACATCCAAGTATACTCTTCTAGGATTCCATCCCACCCTTGCACCCACTTGCACTGCACCGTGTGTGCAAGTGTGTGTGTGCCTGAGCATGTGTGTGCGTGAGTGAGCATGCGTGGGTGTACACGTGTGTGCGTGAGTGAGCATGCATGGGTGTGTGTGCATGGGTGTTCACACATGCATGTGTGTGTGCGTGCTTGAGCGTGTGTCAGCATTTGGGGAACTCGTAAGAATGAAGTGCCTGAGGGACCCAGGGCTTTTAGGTCATCCAATGTTTCACATGTAGCAAAATGATGCTGTGTTAAACAGGGAGCTTGAGTTCCTACTGTGTGCCACTTACTAGAGGTCTAAGCACAGGTGGAGGTGAAGAGGGGACAGTGTGAGTGCCAGGAGGGCTTCCCGGCAGAGGTGACACCTGATGAGAGTGGGAAGGGGAAGGAGGATTTGTCCTGGCAGAGAGGAGGTGATGACCATGCCCCTCGGCACTTGTCAGTGAAGGCGGGAGGCCGCCGGCATGGCTCCTCCAAGGGGCCTAAGGGTGCAGCAGTGGAGCACAGGGGTGGACCCCAAGGGAGGGGTCACGTGCTGGCACTGCCCTCGCCGAGGGCCGGGAGCTGGCGTGGATGACGCCCTGCCGTTGCTCCTCGGGAGGCCCAGCCTGACTGTCGGGGAGCTGGGCCCTCTCGGAACGAGTTTGCTTGTTGGCTGGGCGGCCGCACAAACTGTGCTGGGTGCGCCTCAGTGGAGGGGTGGGGGCTGCACCGTGAACACGTGCCACATCCTCGGCAGTCAAGGGACGAGGTCACCTGGAGTGGGATCCATCTCCAAGGCTGAGCTCCTTCCCCACACCAGGGGTCCCAGCACACGCAGAATGTTCCAGAAGGAAGGGTGGGCAGTGCCGATTTGTAGCATAAGGAGTATTCGGTTTAGTGACTGCCCTTCACTCCAAGATTGTGCCCCTCCTGCTTATTTCACTAGAATGTCTTTTCCCTGATGGCGATCGCAGTGGCCTCCACAGTGTTTACTGCGGGGTGGCCTCCACTGCCCGCTCCTCCGTGCCCCGTCCACACCTCCCGGGGCAGCCCTGCAGCCGAGGCCTCTGCTCACCGTCAGCAGGCTCTGCTTCAGGTTCATCTCTGAACACTGAGACACAAACCTTCGAACTTGTGTTTATTACACAAACTGTGTCTGCATTCTGTCTACTGTCGGACAAGCGTAAGTGGTCAGGCTTCAGCCGCTCCGTTTCGTAGAGTAAGTGTGCAGGGTCGGACGGGGTGGACATTGAGCAGAACTTAAGAAAGTTGCCTGAACTTGGGGAGGCTTTTCGAAGAGGGCCCCCCAAAGCCGCAGGGTCCACAGGTCCTAACTGTCCACTGGCTTTAGCTGGGTGGAAACATGTGAGGGGCCTTTTCAGCTTGTGAGTCTCCAAGAATATAAATTCGGAAGCCGGTTAACTGCTCTTTTTCTGTCTCCAAACTACATTTGTATGGCCATCCCGTCATGTATGTGTTCCTAAGTCAGTCAAGGTCGGCCCCAGGGAATAACCAGTAGTGCTTTCGTATTACCTAGAAACCTTCTAATCGTTCTATGATTACAGTACCCCCCCCCATCCATGGCTTCACATGCCACGGTCCATTACCCGTGGTCAGCTGCAGCCCAAAAATATTAAATAGAAAATTTCAGAAATAAAGGACTCGTGAGTTTTAAATCGCACGCCATTCTGAGTCGTGTTATGAAATCTCGTGCCGTCCTGCTCCATCCCTCGCTG